TGCTTCTTATTTAATATCTAAACAGTCTTAACTTTGTAAATAAAATAAATTTTGGAATTCGAAGAAAAATATAGTTTGAAGATAACTTTTACATGAATCCTTCCTCTATTTGAATTTCAATATAAAACGTTGAAATTTATTAAAATATTTCTATTGAAAGATAATAATACATGCTGGTATATCCCCAATAGTATAAGTAATTTACAGATAGAAATGGAAGCTACATAAACAGTACAACATTCTAGACAAAATTTACAGAGTTAATTCTTAATTTTTTCATTATTTTTAACTGTATTTTGTTGCTTTATATTTACCCAAGAAAGGTGTTTCATAATTGCAGTTGTATTGATAAATAATTGGTCGAATTATAAGTGTAGGTAATTGAAGTTATGATTGCAAATCAAATATATGCGTAATTATTAAGATGGTAAATCCAGATCGAGTCACTGATGGGTTTTACCGGTTTCCTCGAGTTTCGTAAGATGTAGATTGTAAGGTTTTGTAAGATCTATATGCTTTTTACATACAATAATATATACATACGTTGCAATAATTAATGTGAATTGTCCAACCAAAGTATTTAGAAGTAAACTCAGTAAAACCTTTAAAATGAACATAGCCTTAGGAAGTACGCTATAGAAACAACTACTGAGTGACGAACTACAAATAAGGAAACGATTTGAAGAATATTTTAATAGTAAACAACAAGTAAAACTCGTTCAATTTATTATTTACTAAACCTAAGGCTCCACAACAGACAACAGAAGAAGATATCCTACGGTGTCCAGAAAACCATCCCCTGGGACACGACAATTAAATATTCTATTACCATTTATACCTTATACAAATATTTAAACATAATTCTTGCAATAATTAGTTTCAACAATGACTTAATTATTAAAACGTTATTGCAATTCGATCAATTAATTAATATCATTTATACGACAATGGAAGAAGGAATACGTTGTTTGTGAATCGCGGTTTAAAACCCCGAGATTCCGAGTATACTGTGGGTTTGGATATGAGAGAATTCCGTATATTTCTTACTTACTAAGTGGTTTTAGACGAGAAAAAATATGTTTTATCGTCATTAAAATGAAAGTTTTCAATCAAACATTTACTATTCGATCGTTGACCTATTTGAAACAACAAAGAAATCATTTATTATAACAGAAAGAATAATATTTATTGGTCATTATCAAATGTTATTGACTGAAGTATTTCAATCATTCACTAAAGACCCCTCTGATTTCATGAGATATCCAACAATTCAGAGTAGGACACCAGAAGCAACACCTCTGCCATGCAAACAACAAAGTGTAAAAAAAACAACAAATATTTAACAGATATTGTGATGATCACCATAAGCTTCCCACGACTTTGAATTGAAATAACAACGAATACTACAATATTAAACAGAAAATAAGACAATAAATTATTAACAAATATGATATATTTGCATATGAGAAATTTGTTAGTACTAGCAAATAACAGAAATAAATTTTAAATATGCAACAATAAGCACACAGCTCTCACTTTCGATATCATCATCGATATCAGTATGAAGAAAAACATTATATATTCAATATTTAAATCATACGTAAGACATAAAGTAAAAAAAAACTATTTTAAATCTACGCTTGGGGAATAATGAGTTTTTGGTGATACTTTGTACCATTTGTTTCCAATCCCCCTTTAAAATTTGGGACTCATTTCTGCCGCACCCTGTATTAAAGAAGTTATAATTTTTGTTTATCAAATATGATGTAATATTTCTCAATATAGTTGATCCAGAATAATCATTTCTATTGCCTTCCACCTTTTCCATGTCTCCGCCAAAATTAGTCTTGTAATAGTTTCTTTTGTATTAAAATAGTAAAATAGTGACTAAGTTCCATTCAGTTCTTTCATGCCATATTATAAATCTGGGTTATTTTCAAGTTGTGTTGACATGGTTGCTGATTTTCATGTCTTATACTTTGTTGTTGAGTTGTTTTTATTGTTGTTGATTCTTATTGGTTTGGTTGTTGTTTAAGTCAGTATATTCAGTTAATGTAAATTATTTTTCTACAGTATTAATACATCCCAGTAAATACTGTATAAAACAACATTTATATATCCTCATATCAAGAAGTATTACAAAACCAACTATATTTTCTTAAACTTTGAAACAAATCACGACAGTATCAAAAAACCCGATCATTTTTGTAGATTTTGGCCTTAACAATTAACTAATTGTTACTGTCGGGATTACGGTTATCCGGATTTTGTTACTGCAGAGATTAAGTAATGAAAGCAAAGCGTATTTGGTTGACCAAAAGGTCAGAAAGGACTAACATATTTTGTAATTGTTTGTTGGCAATGAAAAAAAAAAACTTTCAGCAATTTGTTACAACAAAATATATTTGTGACAAAAAAAAAACAATTTTGGTTGCATAAATTGATTTTCTTTTCTATTACATTATGTTGCTTAGTTAACAAGAAGCAGCGACAAAAAGAAACATCGACCAGACAATATTTGAAATTAATGACCTCGATATATTTTTGCTACACACCTGAGAATCATAATCGCAGACCCGTTTTCAATAATTTATTCCGATGTTAAAATAACAATAATCTCGGCATCATAAGTTTTTGTGCAATAACCTTTCTATATAAATAAATTAGACTCATCGAGACGTATCAAAATATAATAAAGTCTCAAGTATTTGTTAATGTATCTTTGGGTAGGGGTGAAGACAAGATTTGTGTATTTGAGGCGATTCGGTGACGCGCACTGCAGTGGACGACGGCAATTACCACATAAACAACATCGGTCACAGGGTACCGAGGCTCCGGATTTTCCAAGGCAGACAACTACTTTAATTCCAGCCCGCTCCGGACTGCCATCAGTGATCAGAAGTGTTATGAATGTCGGTATAGGCGAACAGCGCGCAGTGTTCCAAAAGTGAGATAAAAAAAAACTATAACCAATTCAGAGAATATTGGTTGGGTACATTCAGAAGAGTCTCAACAACAGAGAACCAACCATGAGCGTCAAGACTGCAGCCACTCTTTGCCTGATTCTAGGCTTCGTCAGCTATGCTCGTAAGTTATCCTAAAACCACAAAAATATTAAAGAAAAGAAAAAAGAAAACAATAATGCAATCAACATTAAAAATAACATTCCGCATCGCAAGAACCGTACCGAAATCTCGAAAACCTTGAATTTATCTTGGATAGTTCAAGAGTTCGTCGACAACGATTAATTAAACATGTTACAAGAAGAAAATAAACGTGGATGATGATCTAAAGCAAAAAAAATAAATAAATACGTTTAGAATAAGGCGAATACAATAAGAATTGCATTTTGAATCTTGTTTTTCTTCGTGTAATTCTGCTTCAATCAAGGTTACGTTTGCAGAGACGCAATTAATTTGAAACGCGGAATTATCATGCGATTATAAATTCATGCTTCCTTCGTTATCGATGGCATTAGGATTAGGAGACAATTAAATTGTTTACTTGCAGAAACTAGTCTTGTGGATCGCTTACGTAAACAAGAAACCGAAAGAGTTGCACAATTGCTGCGCTTGAAACGACTTTTGCTTTTCAATTCACGCCGTCAAGTGCATTCAGGAAGATATTGATGCCATCCATACACATATATTGAAACGTAGCCTTTTGACCCGTGAGATTAGTTTGGTCGATTTTCTACGATACGCGATCTGTTAAGTAAACATCGTGCGCATCTTCACCTTGAATACATGGAAATACAAGGAATTGAAAACGGTTATCATTCTTAGAAATTAGCAAATTTACAGATAATAACTTATTATTAAAAATAAGTCTGATGCTAATTATATTTAGTGTTAATTACTTGCAACTTATATTAGTAAAGAAAATAGCTTGGTTGTCTGTTTAATTTTTCATTACTTTTTCTTCAGAAATGATCATTTTTGACCCAAAACAAATCTCAGTTTCCACGAACCGGTTATCTTCTGTTTATAATAAATACCATGATCACAACATTCAAAACCTTGTTGAAAAACATTACTACATTTTTTTCTTCTTAAACATAGATTTTTTTTTACTTATGAACTAATTATTATCAAAACAATTTCATTTCTGACAAAATTATCTAATAAATACTAATTAAAAAAAAACTATATTTCTTAATAAATTTGTGGTTCAAAGAATATAAGTTAAATATTTTTTTAAAATATTAATGTATAAAAAATAATGCTTATTATTTTGATTAAGGGAAATTTTATGGTTTATTACATCATTCATTGAGAATTTAAATGAGAGATAAATCAATGGTTATTACATAGTTTACGAAACATCAAATCCGAACAAAGAAAAAGATGATTAAAGTACAGGTTTTTCGTGATTAGTCTATTAACAATTTATCATAAAGAAGTCAAATGGACAGGATTACCAAGAATATTATTTGAATATTTATTATCTTCTTTTATTTGCAACTAGTTTTAATACAATCGAATGTTTTCTTTTGTTAATTATTTATTTTTTACTATTTATACGAAAACTCGTTTATGATGTGCTCAAAATTAAAAAAAAAACAAATAGTAAATAGTTTCTTGTAAAATACTTGTAAACACATTCAAAAACGACTATTTATATTTTATTTAAGTAATGTAACCTTGACTACTACGTAAAGTATCAACAAAATCATCATAATCAAATTTACTTGTTTACAAAACAAAAGTGCATGATTAAACGAAGGATTTTAGATCTAAATTAGGTTCAATTTTATGTAAATTGGAGTTGTAATTTGTGAACAATTGATATTGAAAAAGTTTATAAAATTCCATCGAAATTTAATTCGTTTTTAATCACTCTATAATCGATTTTGAAATAATAAAACAATGCGCTAAGACAAATAAATTAATTAAATGCACTAAAGTAAATAAGTGTAAAAATTAACTTGTAGATTACAAATGGTTCGAATGATTTTTAAATCGAAACTTAATTGTTTTCCAAATTGTTTTTGTTTAAATGTGAGAAGAAAGTGCTGTAAGGTAGATGGCCTTATTAGGTGCGATGCGAAGACAAGTCGACGGTTTTGCCGTTTGCAGCAAGGGGATTTACCCAGACGTGATTCAAGTGTGTGACCTCCACGGAATTAATAAATATATTTCATGCGAAGCTGAGATTAAGCACACTTCCAAAAATAAACACAATTATGGGGACTTTACATATTATACTATGTACAGGATTTCGTAGAAAGTTATTTTCTCAATTGAATACTAATCGTTTAACAACACACACACTTATTTAATCAGGAATTTAAAACAGGAATTATTTAATATTATGTTTATTACGGATACGAAAACAAACAAATAAATCGTCAAATCTGAAATTCAGTTTTGTTTAACCACAAACAAGTTTTAGTTGCAAATTACTATTAATAACTATTTATATAAATTTGCCTCCAACAGTGTTTGTAAAAAAAAAGATTGTTAAAAAGTCTTCAGTTATGATATACTTAGCAATAGATAAGTTTACTTCAAAGAACAAAGAACTGTGGAAAATGATAGAATATTGAAGAAATTTGAAATAAAATAATGATGGATTTTGTGAATCTTGTAGATATTTAGATTTTTTTGTTAATAATCAAATGATCTATTAAGCGAGATAAATAAATGTGTGACAGGTGTACCAACTATAATTGGATATCAATTGACAATTGCAGTTGCTGCCATCTATTTGCGTTAGTCAGAGAGACTTGTCTAATTCTTATGTACATTGATTTTATTTATTTATATTTTTTTTGAACATTTTTAGTTTATATAATTCTATTGTTTTTGATGTGGCAGAGTCTGAATCATGTCGTACTGCGAAAGGAGAATCCGGGGACTGCATTATTATAAGGAGCTGCCAGACGATGTTGAACATTCTTCAGAAGAGGCCAGTTTCTCCGGACGATGCGGATTATCTCAGAAGATCCCAATGTGGTTTTGTCGGAAATGATCCAAAAGTCTGTTGTCCGACGAATAACGGAGGCGGCGGCGGCGGTGGTGGTGGCAATAGCGGTGGAAGCAACTATAACAGCGGTTCAGCAGGAGGTAGAAATCCGGACGGTAAACATATATATATATATACTCAAATTTGGCGTTGATAGAATTCAAGAATTGCATGTGGACGAGATTTGGTTTTCTCAAAGTGGAAATTCCGCTTACGTCAAAGTCCGAAAGTAATCGGAAAAGAGAAAATTATGTATAGGAACAGATCGATCTTAGACGCAATCTGAAACATGCGACTTTCACCTACATTAATCCTTATTGTTTATATGACGTTAATCGAACGTTGAAATTCCCATCTAATGCATGTTTTTCTGCTCGGCTTTTAATCAAACATACACATTAACGATGCAAATCAAATATTTCTCGTATAATCCTTTCACACTACGCATTTTTAGTCCGGAATATTCATCGCCTACAATTCAATTTTATATTATTACGTAAATTGCTTACGGTGAATTTACCTAGACTCTACACCAGAGGTTCTCAAACTTTTTTGTGTCGTAGACCCCTTGCCATGTTTTTCGGTTTTGGGTAGACCCAATAGATCTTTATAATTATTAAGATCTTTGCTCTGAATCTGTGCGTATGCTTGTAACAAGATGATTATGTGCAGGTTTTTGCAAGTTCAAAATGTATTGCGACAACAAAGCGAATGCCTACATCCTACAACTTACACAATTTTATAAACATATATAATAATCCCGACTATATCGAAATCCCGACTGTGTCTTTTATTATTATAATGTATACAATAACATTTTTAAACTATTCCGAAACGTAGTCACCATCTATTATTATTTAACTATTATTTAATATTAATAACAATAAATTATTATGAATAATTCAATGAAATCAATTACAATAAATAACAACAATTAATAATCTCAACTTATATTCCCCCTGTTATATTCTGGAAATATTTTTTTTTTAATTATCTTTATTATAATACATAAATGAATAAAATAATTATAATGAAACACTATGAGCTATTCCGCGAAGATAACTCATTAATGTTCTGGATCTTGATATAGTCGGGATTTCGAATGTCGGTGATTTCGATACAGTCCGGATTATGGTTGTCGGGATTTTGATATAGTCGGGATTTCGAATGTCGGTGTTTCTCAACGTACTCAACTTTCATACAAACGTACACTTTGCAGTCTGAGCATGTGCATATACTGTATCTTTCGTACAATTCATAATGCATTTCCACATAACAGTACTAATACTTACTACATACAGTACTTCAGCAAAACATATACTAAAATTGGAACGATACAGAGAAGATTAGCATTTCCACAGAGAATTCCCGAGTTCTCTTCACTCTGCCAATGCATGTAAAATGAAAAATAAGTTAGTAGTTAGTAGTAGTATTTTATGCGGAAAAGTAATTGTATAATTCTATATCAATTTTAATGATTTAGTACCTTCATCATTGTACGTTATTGCGGATAATTGTACATTACTTCGACCGTGAATCAAGATGACTTAAGTAATGTAGGAAAAAGTATGTAACGTGTCTATTTTTATAACTGAGTAAAACTAAGCAATGTTTAGTACTTAGATGGTTAAATATTTGGTTGAACAATACCCAATTATGCTATAACATACTTTATTTGGAAATGCTTAGTAAATTATGACTTTTACTATCAATTACTATAAAACTTCTTGTATTATTGTATAAATGGATGTCTTAACATCAAATACATGTTGCGTTATTTCTTCGTAGGTTTATCATCCAATTTGTTGCCCACCTTCAAGCAGTGCGGTCAATCGGCCCAAGACAGGATCGTCGGAGGAGAGACCACCGATCTGGACGAGTTCCCGTGGATGGCCCTCATCGAATACGAGAAACGTAAATAAACAGCGCGATTTGAAATTTCCATTGCATTTACATACTGCCTACATAATAATCAAATTCTTTTTCCAATTACAGCGAACGGTCGTGGATTCTACTGCGGCGGCGTTCTGATCAACAAGAGATACGTCCTCACTGCTGCCCATTGTCTCAAAGGAAAGGATTTACCGAGAACATGGAAATTGTGAGTAAACAGGAAATTCACGTGCGCTTAATTGACCATTGAAACATTAATTAATTAATGCAATTTACGGACAACTAAAGATCCGAAAATGGATTTGGATTAATCTGTTTTTTTTTTTGTGTGTTATTTAGATCAAGTGTCAGATTTGGAGAATACAACACTTCTTCGGTGAAGGATTGCTTGAGTGACGGAGCAGGAGGTTTTGACTGCTCCGAACCACCAGTCGATATTCCAGTTGAGGAGAGGATTGCTCATGAAAAGTACAATCCTTTGGATACGAACCAGTACCATGACATTGCTTTGCTCCGATTGAGTCGTGATGCTCCATACACAGGTAAAATCGTATTAAAATTCTAACAATATTATAATTGAAATATTAAGAATTTATTAATGCACTAAATTGTGATTAAATAACGTAATCGGTGATGGACTAACTATAGTTGGGCATCTAGGCAAATTCTATTTTCTTGTCTTCGCTTGGAACATGCCCTACCTAAAACATTGTTAAATACTTATGCCCCTTATGTAAGATATTCAGAATTCGACATATGGTTAAACTCTGGACGGTTCTATTGCTTCCCATAATAATCAAATTGCCCCACATGGGTCCCACATCTCATTGTATTAATGAATAATCTGCTAATTCCAATCTTGAGCTAAGACAACCTTGGTGATATAGCAAACATGCGTGGTGCATAGCACGCAAAAATAATTATAAATTGGTTTTTCCTTGAAAAGTACTCAATGTTGTTGCGTTTAGAAAATCGTGCATTTTTCTCAGCCTTTATTTAACGTAACTCTTGCGCATTATCATGAAAGAAGTGTTAGCATTGCAAAAATACTGAATATTCTTCTCACTTTAAGAAATCTGAAAAGATTTTTTTTTTCAAGTTTTATAAAATCAAGAGTTATATAAAATGGTAATGGTTCTTTTATGACACTTTGTATATATAAAAAAAAACAATGAAATTCGTTCATAAAATAATACTTATTAGTTTCTTTACTATGGAAGACTGATTTGTGAAAGAGAAAAGAAATGTTTGAAGTAAAAAAACCTAGATTTCAGATCAATTTTTATCTGACCGAATGAATGTAATATTACAAGGACAATATTTATATTTGTACTATTTAGGTCAGTCTTAAAGGACGAGGTCGATCTTAAATCTTGAATATATGCCGTGAAAAGGTAACTTTAGGTTTTTTATTATTAAATGAGAGTCATTGCAATTTTCTATATATTATAGAAATGAACAACATTCTTACTTATATGAATACTTAATGATGCTATTGGAGATATGATATCTCTAACTATGATATTTCTTTACTAAAGTGTCGTGTCCCGGGATGGAATGTCTCTGGACACTGTGTAATACTTTGTAGTATTGTCGATGTGGAGTCCTAGTGGGTTTTATGGAAGAGTCTAGATTAAAGTCAGTGTAATAATAGTAATTATGTAACAGTTAGGTGATTCTTAATCTAGCTTCCAGTTGCTACAAGCATAGGTTGCTGGTCAAGATTAGAGTAAAACTAGAACTGTTACTAGGTACTTCCTAGGACTCACATGAGTCACGGACTAACTAGGACTAGGACTAACTTAAAAGGTCTAAAGGGTGGCCGAGTTTCTCATAAAAGCCCTTTTCAAGAGAGTGACATATGTAAACTAAAAAAAATATGAGAAACAGAGCGTTTCTCCAAAAAAGGTTCTATTGTCCTATGCAGATGTTTGCAAGTGTCGATAAGCTTGTTTGGTTTTTTGAGGGGCCTTTCCTTCCCTTAAGACTATACTTACATAGATAAAGAGTATACATAGTACTTATATATATTTATATATATCAATAATTAATAATAAAGTGGTTGGACACAACAAAAGTTTTGATTAGTGAAGCTACTTTTTTAATCTATTATAATTATTAGAGTGAAACATTAAATTGTTCTTTTGGATTTCAGCGTATATCAATCCGATCTGTTTGCCAATCAAAAAAACCGAACTGCAGAAGGATTTGACCGGTGACAATTTGTTCGTTGCCGGTTGGGGAAAGACCGAAAGCAAATCAGAGAGCGACGTGAAATTGAAATTGAAGGTAAACTTGAGTCAAGGTTCTGGGATCAAGGATCAAAATCAATCTGTATTACGTCTTCCTCGTAGGTTCCGGTGAAGAGTAACAGCGAATGCAGTTCGGTGTACAGCGCGGCCAGAGTGAACCTTGGCAAAGGACAGATGTGCGCGGGAGGACAAAAGGGCAAGGATTCGTGCCGCGGCGACAGCGGTGGCCCACTGATGTCCCTCGTCCAGGATTCCGACGAAGTGTACTGGGTAGTATCCGGCATCGTGTCCTTCGGTCCATCGCCGTGCGGAATGCAAGGATGGCCGGGCGTTTACACGAGAGTCACCGAATACGCCGATTGGATAATCAGCAAATTGAAACCGTGATCCTTCCAATCCCACCAATCAACGAGTCTTTAACATTATCTGCAAACCCATAACTACTAGAAGCACATATAATTGGAGTACTAAATTATTATTATACCTTTTGTATATTTATGATTAAAAAGAAAAAAATTAATAAATAAACGTTTTTTTTTCTTTAAATCAAACAGACTGCGTTTCAAACAAAATTTCCGAACGTCATAGCAAATTCCTGTGTCAAAAGAATTGTCCCTAAATCTAAATATATAAAAAAAAAACACACATTAGTGTTTATTTTCATTTGTAAATTATCGTGAGTATGGCAGATTTACCACCGGATTCTGGTAACAACCCGGCTAATCCACCGTCTCCTCCACCTGAACCCTCGGAGGCTATTCCTAGCGAGATGCCCTCCGTAGGTCCGGTGTGCGATCTGAGAAGGATAAGGGAGATCAGGGCTGCAGCTGCGGCCGCTGCGTCCCGCAACGAGTCTTTGGTCGCACGACCGCAGAGAAGGAAAGCGATCTTCGCGAATTTCCTTCAACTCGCGAAGAACGTCTTCAACAACCAGAACGTCTGGAGAGTGTTCAAAGGTCTTCTGTTCTTCGTGGTCACGTACAAAATGGCATACGAACTGGACCTGTTCAAGGGTTCGTTATGGGACCACTTCGATTTCGATCTGAGTGCAATTCGAGAATTCCTAAATATGGAGGAATAACTGTTTTCGTAATTAAAACTATGTCCATTTGATGTCAAAAACTTTTATTTATCTATAAATAAATTGAATGAAAACTAACGAAATTTAAAAACAAAAATTAATTACTATCCGATTTAACATTGAAAACCATATAAATAAATTCAATTAAAAGTAACACAATTTCTAAACACTATTCTTCTCTTCACTATCAACTTTATCATTCCCATTCGTCGTTTCAGCATCATCCTCAATTTTATCTGTATTATCCTTAGCAACTGGACTATCCTCAGATTCACTATCACAGTCATCGGAACTCGACAATCCGCTCAATTCGTCGTCGATCCTGAAATAAACAACATATTTTTATACACTTTTATCTTGGAATTCTTTCGATAAACTACATAATAAACAATTTCAATTACCATAAGGCCTTCTTCTTCTTTTTCATTTTCTTCTTTTTATCATCAACTTCATGTTTCCGTTTGTTGCCTTGGGAAGATCCAGCAGCCAAACCTTGACTTATAGCTTCTTCCAATCTTTCCGACAACTCCGAACGTTCTTTCTCGTAAGTCTCGTCCTTGAACTCGTGCTTGGGCTTCTGGACCAACTTTTCCAGTTTCTTCAATTTTTTATCTTCCACTTCATCTTCCCTCTGCGACTGTTGTTCAATCCAATTTTTTAGCCTAGAACAAAATAACAATAATTTAACAAAATCTATAAAATCAATTTTAATTATATATGTATTCCTTACACACTTTGGTTACATGTACATATACATGTCACGATAAAAGTACACAATTGGTAAATGTATACGTTTACCGATCTTGTAGGTAAATGTAAGTACAAATCTGACAGCAGCGTCACATATCTACTTTTACAAAAACATCGGTAAAAGTTGAAAATAATAAATACGAGATACATTTAATGTATATCAGGTTGAAAATAAAATAATTATATGTTTGTATAATGAGTTTTTTTTTGGCATGACATAAGTTATATATTTTATTGACCTATATAAACATTTACTTACGTCATTGGGTAAGTGTATACATTTCCCGGAAATGTAAGTTGAAATGTATACATTTACCGATTATGTACTTACTGTAATGTAAATACTGTGTTTAATATTATTATTTAATCTAAACATAATAATTGTTCAATAAAAAAACAGTTTTATGTTTCATATTTTCGTAACATTTTACTATAAATTATAAATATGCAAAACTGTTGCTTGAATATTCTACTAAGAAATTTCCTCTAAATGCTAAAATTCATATTTAAAGTAAAATCTGAATCTTGAACATTATTAATAAATTAATATACTAATACTAATCCTATGAATTCAACAGTATTTTATAGAAGATTAATTATACTTTAGAAAAATGATACTTTATACAATGAATCCTAGATGTTAAAAGTAACAAGACAAACCTTTTTTCCTCATTGATATCCCGTAATCTCCTTCCACTCAAATCCCGACAAGCTTCTCTATTTGTAGTCTTCTCAATTTGTGCCCCAATTGCTCGTAACATAGATCCAAATCCACCTTTTCCACCGCACATCCTTGGTACAATATGTATAATCGCATCATTTTTGGCCCCATCAATTTGCGACCAAAGTTTACCATTCGATATGAAGTAGAACTCCTTATTTTGCAGATGCTAAATAAAAAAGTTCAAAACATTTAACAAACAAACGTATATTACTTACAATTTACTTACCAATTTTGATTCTAGAAGATCAGAGAACTTGCAGTCATTATTAACTGATAGAATGTGTTTGTTATTAAAATAGAATTCCAACATTTTCTTTTTTCTTAGTTGTTTACTTTTTGAAGAGATAAAAATTAATGTCTTTTTACCTCAAAATATTATACGTATTGATGCGTATATTAAGTTTCTAGGTTATGTTGACAACAGTTACATTGAATTTAGAACTACTTTTAAATCGATTGAACTACTTTAAGAAATGAGTCATTTCACCTACTTTCGTTTTTTTCATATTACTTAAATACGAAACAAAGCTTGAAGCAGCTTCATTTACTTTAATTAAATAAAGATACATTATATAAATGAGTACTGTTGAATTTAATAGAAAAGTTCATTTTTCAAGGAGAAGGTATCAAATTGAATCCAGCAGGTGTCGCTACCTGTAACGTCAGATTTGACAGCTACGCAATTTGACAGCTGTTATTAAATAGTGTGAAGCAACTGCGAAACTTTGTGTTGTGCACAATGATTTGTTCATTTATGATTTTTCGTTTCGCATTTATTTGATTGTTAACTGAGGAAGCTGAGGGCGGTCTTCGAGATGGCCTCCGTGAAGGTGGCGGTAAGGGTGCGACCCTTCAACCAGAGGTGAGCGAATGCCACTTTACATGAACAGCGTAACAAAAAAAAAATATTGTTGTTCCACTCTCTTGATTCCACATAAAAATAGATTGCAAATAAAACGTTTAAGTGCACATTTCCTGCAATTGCAATTCACCATATGGAATTCGCAAGCTTTTACTTGTTTTCATTTCCTATCGAATTCAGCAATTTGCAAAAAAAATTTTTTGTTATTAACAATGGAATATCGTTGTTCCAGTGGGTTAACAAGAGAGAAATTAGCCTACTTTAAAGTAGTTTGTTGCTTGGATGAGTCACAGTGCGAATTTTTGGCCAATGTTTACATTTTGTTTATATGCAAATCAGTGGAAAGCAACATTCATTTGTTTTATATTAAAACAAAAAGCAAAAGTAATTCGATTTTTTAAATTTTAGCTAAACGAGTTGCATATGTTATTTACACTTGGATGCATTTTATTTACAAATATAATGTGATTAATTTTATCAAAGATTAATGTCAGCTTTATATCCACTTTATTTTATAACAACACATAGGGTTTCTTCCTAATTTTATTAAGAATACTACATCTTACTATTATTACTTATTTATAAGTTTAACTTGAACTTTGTTTTCAAAATTTAATTAACACTTTTATTTATTTACTTTTTCATTGTTAAAATATGGTAGTAATATTTTTGTTTCGTAAGGAAGATTTCATTTTAACGAGCCGAGTTTCCTCGACCGTATCAATTGTGTGAATGTGAGTGGTCTTAAGATTTGAAATCGTCTCCTTTCTATTAAGAATACCATTCTTTTTGTTACGACTTCTTACAATGGATACGGCAGCATCTATTCAAATATTATCCTTTATTCACGTTGTTTAACTTTCGGAAAAAGTCAAACGAAGCAACCAGCATTTATTTTTATTGTTTATTTACATCTTGATGATTGTATGTCATTTAAACTAGATATTTCCTATTTGCCAACTAGAGCACAGAAAACACACATATTCTTGTCACTTCAAACAAAAAATATTTATATAAATCACTCCATTTAAACAGTAAAGTCTCAAATTGTGGCCAATAAATATGTTATATAATAATGTAAATAAATTGAAAAATGTATGTACATCAATATTCCCAATTATTTGTTTTTCATCTGTATCAAAATTCCCGACGTTTGAAATCCCGACTGTATCGAAATAATAAATAAATAATAAATAAATGTATTAAAAATGTAATTGTAGACATTTTCGATATAGTCGGGATTATGGTTATTGAGATTTTGATATAGTCGGGATTTCGAACGTTGGGATTTCAATAAATATATTTGTTACTTCATATACAAATATTTATATAAATCACTCCATTTAAACAGTAAAGCCTCAAATTGTGGCCAATAAATATGTTATATAATAATGTAAATAAATTGAAAAATGTATGTACATAAATATTGTTTTTCATCTGTATCAAAATTCCCGACGTTTGAAATCCCGACTGTATCGAAATAATAAATAAATGTATTAAAAATGTTATTGTAGACATTTTCGATATAGTCGAGATTATGTTTGTCGGGATTATGGTTATTGAGATTTTGATATAGTCGGGATCTCGAACGTTGGGATTTCAATAAATATATTTGTCACTTCATATAAAAATATTTATATAAATAAACTCCATTAAAACAGTAAATTAGAAACCTCAAATTGTGGTCAATAAATATGTTATATAATAATGTAAATAAATTGAAAAATGTATGTACATAAATATTCCCAATTATTTGTTTTTCATCTGTAACAAAATTCCCGACGTTTGAAATCCCGACTGTATCGAAATAATAAATAAATAATAAATAAATGTATTAAAAATGTTATTGTAGACATTTTCGATATAGTCGGGATTATGTTTGTCGGGATTATGGTTATTGAGATTTTGATATAGTCGGGATCTCGAACGTTGGGATTTCAATAAATATTTTTGTCACTTCATACAAAAATATTTATATAAATAAACTCCATTAAAACAGTAAATTAGAAACCTCAAATTGTGGTCAATAAATATGTTATGTAATAATGTAAATACATTGGGAATTGTATGTAAATAATTGTGTTTTCTACTTGATGATATTACTTCATCAATGGTTTTAATATTTCTGCGCTTTCATAAATTTTCATTTAGGAATATTCTTATTTTGTCTCGTTAATTGAGAGAACTCTACTAGTGTACTTCATCAATTATATTCCCAATTATTTGAGTGTTTCATCTGTATATATATATATAATCATTCCATGTCAATATTATTCAATCTTGGGCAAAAAGATCAAGTTCAAGGTCTGTTAGCCATATGTTATTTTTTAAAACTTGTGTACACATATTATGTATATTTTTGAATATGTTTCACTATACGAGTAAAAATCCGGAAATTTTGGAACGAATTATGTAACTAAATATATTGGATGCGTAGATTTCATTTTCAGCAATGTTTCAAGTAGATTATAAAGATGCATTTATACTTCACAATTTTTTTTTAAATTCATCCTTGAAAATTAAAAAATAACATTTTTAAGAAAAATAATATTTACTTTCATACGTAAAAAAAAAACACGTGGGTGTGTCTTGTGGGCGTGCGAACTGAACAATGAATGGAAACATCTGATTTATTCGAAAAGTAATTTAGTATTTAGTTTGGATAATTTAATTATTTTATGGAAATTACGTTACTCCCTTTATAAATAATTATATTATCATAATAACTAACATAATAATAAGAATACTTTTTACTTAATTGGTGAAAATGACCATCGTTTAATTAAGTGATGGTGTATAAATTTATGTTATCAATTTAAGATGTGTTTATATTTTTTTTTGTTGAAATTTTGTATTGATGTAATTGAATATTTTTGTTGCAGGGAACTCGACATGGACGCGAAATTAATTATCCAAATGAAAGGGAAGATGACTGGCATTCTGAACAGCAAGGTGGGTCTTCGTTTGAGATTGAAATCAGCTTGTGTTTCTGTCTAATTGTATTGAAAATTTGACAAAATGGGAGATTGT